GATTTGAACCTCTTGATTTGCATGATTTTGTGGGGGTTTTTGGGTTAAGTAAATAGCAAACCATTTTCAGAGGTCACCTCAGGCCACTTGTGGAAGAGATATTTATTGTCTTAAAATGAATTACTTTGTGTTTTTCTCTTTTAATTTCTAATGTGACAAGTATGTATAAATACCACAGTAAACAAATTGGGGTGAATCCTCAATTTTTAAGAGTAAAGGGGTTCTGAAATAAGAGTAAAGGGGTTCTGAAATAAAAAATTTAAGAACTTGCTGGTATAAGTAAGCCATCCAAGTTACTTAGTCCAGTGGTTCTCAAATTGTGCCACACTTCAGTATTACCTGGGAGCTTTAAAAACCTCTGCTGCCCAGTTTATTTTCCATACCATTAAATCACAGTAAAGGTGAGAAACTTCAAGCGTGGCTTTAGGAACTCCTAGTTTCAGCTCATTCTTTTCAGCTCATTCTTGAAACTTTGCATTCCTTATTCCAGCTTTACAAGGGGGCAGGGGTCACTTTATGCACTTGATATTTATTTACCTTATTTAGAAAATGTTACATCATTGTTGTTTACTTTTGCCAAAGTGAATTCAGTAATCTAGTGAGAATTAGTTTGCCCAACTTTATTGTTTTAAATAATTGATAACTTAATGTATAATCCAATTAAAAAACAATGGAAAAATCCTCTTTCTTTGTATGCTAATGACCAGGGGAAAAAAAACCACACAGAACAGTTTTTTTTTTTAATTTTTAATTTTTTTCTCCCCAAACAGTTTTTTTTTAATGCCAGAATTATACCTTTGAAATACTGAATTGTTTTTCCTTTCTAATTAAATAGATAGCCAGATATGTGGTCATGGACATTATATCTTAAAGTCAGCTTTTGAAATAAGAAAACTAAATGTAAAAAGCCTAGTACAGTGTCAAGTAACATACATTAATATGGTCCAGTGTAGTATCTACTAAAAAGTTCATTTAACTTTATAGCTAAGTATGCAATGGAAGCTGCTTATGCCAAATTAGGAAAAGTTATGCAGCTAAGTCTGTGGCTGAAAGCTAAAAAGGTTGGAAAACTTATACATTGAGAGTTAATTAAAATGGATTTTTTTAAAACATTTTTTTAATTTATATTTAGAGAGAGGGGGGAAGGGAAGGAGAAAGAGTGGGAAAGAAGTTGTGTGGTTGCCTCTCATGAGTCCCCTGATGGGAACTGGCCTGCAACCCAGGCATGTGCCCTGACTAGGAATTGAACCTGCGACCCTTTGCTTCATAGGCCCATGCTCAATCCACTGAGCTACACCAGCCAGGGCAAAAATTGATTTTTAATGTCAGGTTTAGTCATCAACAAATTTATGGTAGTAGTCTTTAAATGAACTCCAAGTTGACTATTCCATATATGTATTCTCAGTGTGGGTTGTTTGATCTTACCAACTAGTGAATTGCTCATGTTAACTTTTAAAAATTGATTCTTTGTTGAGATAATTTTATATTAAATGAATTTGCAGGAAATAATGTAGAGGGGTCATGTATATCTTACCTAGTTGCTCCCAATGGTAACAACTTGAAAAACAGTATTACAAGTTGAGTAATGACATTGATATAGCCTATAGATATTATTCAAAATTTCCTGACTTTTTCTTGTGTGTGGTTCTGTGATTTTATTATATGTGTATGTTGGTGTGTCTACCACCATAGTCAAGATACATAACAGTTCATCTCTATACAAGTTCCTTTTTGATAACCACACCTCCACCCTCATCCCTAACTCCTGACAGTCACCAGCCTCCATCTCTGTTATGTTGTTATTTCAGCAGTGTCATAAATGGAAGCATATGGGCCTGAGCTGTTGTGGCTCAGTTGGTTGGGCATCGTCCTGCAAACCAGACGGTCATAGGTTCAATTCCCAGCTAGGGCACATGCCTGGGTTGCAGATTTGGTCCTCAGTCAGGGTGCATGTAAGAGGCAACCCATTTGTGTTTCTCTCCCTCTCTTTCTCCCTTCTTTCCCCTTTCTCTAGAATCAATCAAAGAAAAAAATTTAAGTGGAAGCATATGGTATGTAATCTTCTTGATAGGTTTGTATATCTTACCACAGTCCAGCAAAATCATGTGAACTTTTAAAATCCACTTATGTAAACAGCCACTTTCTATTTTATTCTTTAAAGGATTAAATGGTCTCAATATAATTTTTCCTGATTTGTTCAGGATTCACATTTATTAAAGACTAGACAATAAAAAGGGAACTAGACAATAAAAAGACTAGACAATAAAAAAATGAATGTTGATCATTTTGTTATTGACCTTGTATACCACTCATACAGATCTCTTCAAAGTTCAAATTAGGTATCAGATCTCTTTTAGGGTACATTATGCATGCCAGGACCTAGTGGTCTGGAGATATATAATCTAAAACAGGTTACCCAGGCCAAAGTTCTGACCTTGAAGGCTAGGTTTGTGTTATTGACAGTGATGATCTTGAAATTATTTATTTATTATTTAAAGATTTAAAAAATTTATTTTTAGAGGGAAATGGAGGGAGAAGGCGAGAGAAAAGAATATTGATGTGTGAGGGGTACATGGAACAGTTGCCTCTTGCACACCCCCAACCAGGGAGTTGGCTTGCAATCCAGTCATACGTCCTCACCGGGAATAGAACCTGAACCTGTGACCTTTTGGTTCACAGGCTGGCACTCAATCCACTGAGCCACACCAGCCAAGGCCCATTTATTATTTTTAAAAGCCCTACAGTAATTGTACTTTATATCCTAGCTATTTAATGCATCAATAATTTGCTTTTAGCTAGAATTCTTGCATCTCACTTGGGAAAATAAGCTTTGTTGTGCTGATCAGAAGTTCTGATAGTGATAGATGTGGGAAGAATTGCTGTATGTGATAATCAGGCTAGACTCTGGTGCCATACTGGACAGATGCTGTATTGTGAATTTCTTTGGCTATAGATACACAGTGGCAGCAGGAATTAAGTGATCATAAGTGGAAGGTGCATGGATAGGTAACCCTGGTTTTCACCTAATGGTTTGTTAACATTAAGCTATTGTTTTTACTTTTGACAGATTAAGAGGAAGAAAATACTTTTTAACATTATGACCCAGTGTACATGCATGTACAACTGTAATAGAAGTTTCACAAAAGCATTTCTTCCCTTTAAAATGTGTAATTTAGTCCTGTGTATTCTGCTTTTGTATTACTAGTAATGCTGGTTGTTAGCCACATTGATTTCAGGAACCATCCACACAGGGTGTGACTTCTCTTTACAGAAAAACTACTACAGGCCCATTGATGACCTTCCAGGTCATAGGATTTTTTTGATGCAGAGCTTTTAGTTCTAGACCTCCTGAAGCATAGTTTAAAGATCTTTTTATTTAATTATGTGAAGCATTTGGTGCTTTATACTGAATTCATTTTGGATTGAATTTGTGGAATTAGTTAAGCTTTATTTTAGCAAAGTCATTTTCCTGTAAAAATGTATCTTTCATCTGTGTTTTATTTGGAAAACAGTTGTGATGGTTGATAGAGTCAGAAATGTTTGGTTAGGGAAGATGATTTCAGATTATTTGCTTAAAATTATGCTGGCTGGCCATGGTATGCCTAGTGGATAAGAGAATGTCACTTATTTTGTTTCTTTTCTGACAGTGTCATTTCCTCCCTGCTTTTCCATCCTACTCTAAATTTAAACTACTCAAGGCTGAGTGAGTTATGTTTTAAGCCTCAGCTGTGTTGTATCTCTATTGCCTATAATAGTTTCTGGCAGATAAGCATTGTAGATTCTTTCTGTAGTAGTAGATTCTCATACTGCTTTCTTTCTGATCTCTAGTGATAAACTCATCAGTCTTTTGAGAACACTGTGTGGTTGGTGTCCACGGTCTGTGCCTGTCTGTCTTTAGTGCCTGTCAAGTACTTTAGTGCTACTGATGAATTGCATTTCTTGTGCCACAGGGATTTTTCACATTTCAGCGATTCCTTACGTGTGTGTACTAATAGCTAGTATAACTGCCTTAGCGATTTTGGTGGTGCCTACTCATCAATTACATATTAATAAATCATTCCATATAATCTCCCATTTTAGTCTTACCGCTTATGAATTTTTCCTGTTCATTTTACTGTTCATTGTTGCTCCAGTTTTTGAGGTTTTGTTAGTGCTTGTACAGTTTTTTTTAAATTAGAGGTTTAGGTTCAATAAAATGAATTATTATTTAATAGAACAATTCTACAATGTGAAATTTGTAATGACTTTGTAAAGAAAAGCATTTATAGTTTTTTCTATCCACTGTGTTCAGATATAGTTTTGATAATATCACATGACTAAGATTATAATAAATAATTGTTTTTGTAATAGTTGGGACAAGAAGCAGACATAATGATAGATAGTATGGACTTGTGCACACAAACATTTGAGAACTAAGTCTGGGCGTTCTGTTTTGTTAAACAGGTTACTGTAGTTACTACATTGGCTAAAGGGGTAATAATATATTTCATGCAAAATAATGCATTTAAGAAAAAGGATATTGGGAGTTATCTACATTAACTTCATTATCCAGGTTGAGGAAACATCCAGAGTAGTTTAGTGGCTTGCCTAATTAGGGGGAGAAGTTGAAATGATTTGGTTTATTGTTAAATGTCTAATGAAAATTTCATTTTAAAACTGTGAAAAGGTCTCAGTGATGGTGCCTCTCCAGCCCCTCCCCTATTTGCCTTCCCCACATATGCACAAAACACAGCCCATTCAACCCAAGCTCTTATAAATTGTGGTTTTTCCTTCCATCAGGCTGAATTTTATAGCAAATGCTTAGTAGCAGCACTTACTCTATGAATTGGCCTTTTTCAAATGTGTAACTAGTCTCTGCCATTAAATCTAATAGTTAGTTTTGTAAACAGGATTGACTAAAAGCTATAAATGGAGTATATTATGAAAAAGAAGTGTAAAAATGTTCATTTGAAATGTTCAGCGTTGATATTTGTAGTGAAAGTACTTTTTGTCTCCCCCAGTGACTTAGAACATCACTATGGCTACAGAAATTGGTTCTCCTCCTCGTTTTTTCCATATGCCAAGGTTCCAACACCAGGCACCTCGACAACTGTTTTATAAGCGACCTGATTTTGCACAGCAGCAAGCAATGCAACAACTTACCTTTGATGGAAAACGAATGAGAAAAGCAGTAAACCGAAAAACTATAGACTATAATCCATCTGTAATTAAGTATTTGGAGGTGAGTACAGGTCATGTGCTTCAGATGCCAGACTTTATTTTATTTTATTTTTTAAAAAGAAAATTTTAAAAATGAAGGGTAATAAGTATACTTGTATTTCATGAATTAGTGAGATTTTAAGTGAAGCAAGCCACTAGTACTGTTTAAAAACTATATCTGCATGAATTATCTTCACAAAAATTATTAAAGTTAGATCCCAACATAGGAATTAGTATGTTGCATGCACATAGGAGAAAAAGATTCAGAGGTAAAGACAGATTTAGATTTTTCTATATATTTCCTTTGGGAAACTAGACTAGAAGAGTTTGAGAGGAATTAAGAAAACCAAGGGCAAGATGTGAAGAATTGTTTTTGTTCTGAGGATTTGAAGGAATTGGGAATATCTCTTTATTCCTTATTTTTTAAGCCCTATAATTAAGGGATATATGGTCCATGAGAATGTGTTAGAGTTAGGAGCATCTTGAATGATTGGTGGAAGTTACTATAAGGAGAGGAGGGAAATTCTAAACAATGTCAGTAGGATAAAATACCAACTATTATGTATGTTTTCAAACATAATGAGAAAAGTGTAATCCTGTTTTCCCCCATTTAATAATAGCTTACATTTTGTTAATTTAGTTTTATATTGAGTGCAGTTAGATTATATATTAGTTGATTAATTAATTGATCTATTTTTAACAGAATAGAATATGGCAAAGAGACCAGAGAGATATGCGGGCAATTCAGCCTGATGCAGGTTATTATAATGATGTAAGTATAAAATATTATACTAGCTTAATATAAATTTTTCATTGGGCATTTGAACATAAAAACATGTGGTCTCAAATTCAAACACGGACTTTCTCTTTACATTTTTGTAATAAAAACAAAACATTCCTAAAGGGATATTAGACATACCTGTGTCAACCATGAGTTTTTTTTTATCTCAACTTAAATTTTCTTTTTAATCTAATTATAGATGAAAGTAGTGTTCAACATAAGACTGCACTGCCTCAAAGTCTGTGTAATAGGAAAGTTAATTTTAAATTTGGCTTATTGTTGACTTTGAGAAATAGTTAGGGAAATCTTATACTTGATTTTGTTGTTTGTTTAGTAATAATTGGCATTTAGCTTTCCTGCATTTCAGTTTTCTTCATTTAATTAATATAGAATACTTATAATCTGTTGCTACAGATTTTTAAAATATTTATTTATTTATTTATTTATTTATTTATTTATTTATTTGAGAGAGGGGGAGGGAGGGAAGGAGAGGGAGAGAAACATCAATTGGCAGCCTCTCACATGCCTCCAATAGGGGACCTGGCCCACAACCCAGGCATGTGTCCCAACTGGGAATTGAGCCAGTGACCTTTTATTTCTCAGGTTGGCACTCAATCCACTGAGCCACACTAGCCAGGGTTATTTTTACAGTTTTTTGCAAGTCTTGTATATTCATTAATTTGTATTTAAATATTAAAATAATCAGTTCACATGCCCCTGGTTTATGTCTTATGCATAATCAACCCAATTTTCCTTTCTTTTTTTAATAGCTGGTCCCACCTATAGGGATGTTGAATAATCCTATGAATGCAGTAACAACAAAATTTGTTCGAACATCAACAAATAAAGTAAAGTGTCCAGTATTTGTTGTTAGGGTAAGTATTCTGTTGGGTATGTTTGGAAAAATTAATCCTGAGTTAGTCTGCAAATATATTTAACAGGACAAAGGAAATTAAACATTATTTTAAATGTACATCTGGGATGAAAATTAGTATATTGCTAATAATTTTATTTTGTAATAGCCAATTGTTTATCTGCTTTATCCACATTTAGTAAGGTATTACATTTATTTAATTTTTTAAAAGATTTCATTTGTTTTTAGAGAGAGGAGAAGGGAGGGAGAAAGAGAGAAACATCAGTGTTTGGTTGTCTCCTGCATGTCCCCTACTGGGGTCGTGGCCTCCAACCCAGGCATGGCCCTGACTGGGAATTGAAGCAGCAACCCTTTGGTTTGCAGGCCAGCACTCAATCCACTGAGCCACACCAGCCAGGGCAGGTATTACTTGTAGATCATTTTCCTTTTATTGCAATTCCTATAGAATATTTTTGAGCTGGCCATAAATATATATTGCAGCAGGTCGCAGATTTGCTCTTGAATGGGATTGCTTTTGTTGTTTAGAAAGCAGCATCTAAAGGTGAACGAAAACTCTTGGGTGTTACTAGGAGGGAAAATACTTGAGAAAAGTTAAAGACAAATGGTAGACCATAATTGTCAGCTCCATGAAGGTACATAGTAGGTACTCAATACATTTTCACTGGAATTTTAAAATATAATTTAAAAATAAATAGTACATTTATGTGGTTCAAAATAGTGAAAATTGAAGAGGTTTTCAATAAAAATGTTTTCCTATATCTATCTGCCAGACTAGTTAATAGTCCAAGTTGAGCAAATAAAAGACTGTCTGTCATAGCAAATATGTAGCAAATAAGCAAAATAAGTAAGTCTTCTGATATTAGGGAGGTGTGATAAACAGCATGGAGAACTGAGAGGAGCTGGAAGAGATGCTGGTTTGAGCTCCATAAAAATGTTGCAGTCAGTCTAATTCTCCTATTTGCTTTTGAAGCCTATTGCAGTAGAAATGTCACTAAGGAAACACTTATTTAAATGGTTTTTGTGTTAGTAGAGCCAACCAACATGTAGGATAACTTTGCTTGGGAATTTGGGGAAAGTTCCCAAATCACGCATCCCAGTGATGTGCAACTAATTTTAATATCATCTTAGCATAACACAAAACTTTTTTGAAATGAATAAAATGTGAGCTTTCACTATCTTGTATTCTGCTTGATGGGTGAATTTCTCATTTGGGCTTAATCTATAAGAAGTAAGGAGACATTTGCACATAGTGGCATAGTCCGTATTACAAGGTATTAAGACACAGAAGTGTGTCTGTAGTGAAGTTGCCTGTTGTATTTACTGGGTTGCGATTAATAACGGATAACAGAAACTAGGAACGTAGGACAATTTTATTCATAATAATCCAAATCATAATCTGTAGGCAAGCAATAAAAATTCAGATTGTCATACATATCTTCATAATTTACCAAATAGTCTTCATTTTATGTATCTCACCCCACTGTTCCTATGAATACACTTGTGCTTTTCAACTCTGTATCAGTTTTAATTGATTTAGTTTAAAGATTTTATTTTGTTAGTACATTTAGGTGAAAGTCAATATCATCTACTTAATGTAAATAATTCTAAGTGTTTTAAAAATTAAGGTTGAGAATCTGTAGCCTTGTATTAACCTGTCTTTTTTTTCTTCCCCAGTGGACTCCAGAAGGAAGACGATTGGTCACTGGAGCTTCTAGTGGAGAGTTCACCTTGTGGAATGGACTCACTTTCAATTTTGAAACAATATTACAGGTAACAGTAATCATCAGATGGTAGCATTGTTCTGCAATACTATGAAGAATTTGAGATATTGTAACTTTATTGGCATTTTAAATTTACAGTTGGGCAGATTATTGTGGATTAATATATGCTCCTATAAGGCCTCCTGTCATATATTCTTGTATGTAATGTTTACAAATGTTTATTTTCACAGGCTCATGATAGCCCAGTGAGGGCCATGACTTGGTCACATAATGACATGTGGATGTTGACAGCAGACCATGGAGGATACGTGAAATATTGGCAGTCGAACATGAACAACGTCAAGATGTTCCAGGCACATAAGGAGGCGATTAGAGAGGCCAGGTTTATACACAATATACCATTTCCTGTAGTCCCTACTGTCATGGTTAAATCATTCTCTAAGTGTATTTTGGGTGCAGAGGTGCATGGGCTCTGTGAGATTCTGGGAAGCTTTCTGCACCCTATAAACACAATATTTTCCTTTGTTTTCACACATTCACCATTTCGCTGGCGCCTTTCTGAAGTAGTGTTGTCCTGGTATCTGCCTTTACGAAATGTTAGAGTTGTATTGTCTGCTGCATTTTGCACGGATTTTCTCTTTTCCTTTATGGTTAATAATGTGTATACGTTACTCCTTTTTATTACCTACTGTGTAAGACACAAATATTTCATTCCAAATAAAGAATTCAGTCTTTAATTATACAGCTGAATAAAATCTAAAGCCTACAGAAAACACTTTCAGAGTTCACACAAAATACAAGAAAAAAAAGGGCTTAAGTGAAGACCTGGTTGGCTTGGTTATGCCATGACTTCAAAGGAACGTGCACTAGGTCTAAAAACTCCGACAAGTAACTCTGGATATGGCAAACATTAATGGATTAATGAATGGGTTCTTCAAGCTTTGAAACTGTAAGCGGATCATTTTCAAGAAGACTCTAGGACTTACCTTCCAATTCACTCTTGATACCATCAGTTATCAAATGTGTAATAAGTGCAGTGTAAAATATTTTCAGCAAGTTGTATATATTTGTACATATCAATGAGATATGTACAGTAAAACTGGAAAAAGAAAGTTTCAAAAACCAGCCTGAAGAGTTGCTGCAGCCTCAGAATAAAGCTAAACAGCATTCTCTATGGCTGTGCCGCCCATGTCGGGTAAGAGGTTGACATCTCTATAGAAACATTCACTGCAGTCACCATTTCTACTTTCAGATCTGAACAAAAATTGGTGGATAAAAATGTTTCTGCAAAGACTTGCTGTAGAGTCCTGCCCATACATTGAGTTTCCACAGTTGGTTATTTATTAGTCATAGGATTCAAAGGTTCAAAAGAGTTCTTAGAGATCAGTGAGAAACTTGATGGTCTGTCACTACAGGGATCAAAAAATGGTTCTCTTCTTTGTAGCAGGTCTTAAGCTTTAAATACAAGTCTGAATGTCCCTATGTTAACGTTTTCATTAAAAGGTGCAACATTCATAAGATAACTTGCCAGGAAGAAGATGTGAAGGATTCCATAGACCTTTGAAATAAATGAGAAACATCATATGTGGGAACGTTTAGCAACCAGTTGTTAATAGCCTGCCCAATTTTTTCAATTTATTGTTTCATGAAGTGTCTGAAATAGAAGCGAATCCTCACTTTTTGAGCAGTATTCCTATGTAATTTAAAAGACTGTTTACAGGAATATTGCAAAAACAATTTATTTAGTTTGTACGCTTAAATTACCTCCGTGTTTTCTGTTGGTACAACAGGAAATTATTTACTGTGGGGAGCATGAGTAGCATTAGTAGTAATACACTTGTTAAAGTACTCTGAATATTGATGATTGAAAACTAAGAAGCAACTACTTCATTAAATTCTTTTGATGAGATGTGATGGTTAGCTGACAACGTTCTCTTTAAAGTGTCTTCTCGGGTGGATACTTCCCTCTTCTAATTGTAACGCGGCATAGTGTTTTTATTTTTCCCTTTTTGAGAAGCACAGATAATCTGTTAAATGCTGACTTCTTTCCCCTGCTGTGTGTCTTCATGTAACAGTTTCTCACCCACGGATAATAAATTTGCTACATGCTCTGATGACGGCACTGTTAGAATCTGGGACTTTCTTCGTTGCCATGAGGAAAGAATTCTCCGAGGTATGTGTACTCAAAGTACTCATTGGACTATTTAAATAGGAAGGCATTCGTGGTTAAATCACAATACCACAATATCAGCTTGGATCTCTATTCAGTTTTCTCACACTGATCTCTATTCAGTCTTAGGCTCTTTAAAGATCTCTCTCTGGATCACAATAATTTTTTAGATTTCTTTTAATTCTTTGAGGTACAGGTGTTTCCCTTCTTCAGTCCCTTTCCTCCAGTTACTCACTTATCTTTATGCATCTCTTAGGGCTATATTCCTTTTCCTGTCTAGTATCCAGATACCTTTTTTCCAACCTACTGACACTATAATTTTATTTAGATAGCTCACATTCTCCCAACAGTCTTTTTACAACACAAATTAACTAAGGTATCAATAGCTGTCCTTCTAACTATTGCTGTTTCTGAAAGTTGGTGGTGTTCTGTTGTATCACATTATATCACATGGCCTGTGTTACTAAATTTTGGAGGGGTTCCTTGTTTACTTTTATTGATTCTTTGTTAACTGTCATCTGTTAATCCATTTACAAAAGAAATCTGTATTTCTACTTGGATTAGCTTAGTTTTAGACTTTATAATGTGGCTAATGTGGCACTTTTGAAATACAGTATATCAACACCAATTATGTGAATTCAGTGGTGTTAGAAGTAGGAAATTCACTTTGTGTTTAAATGTGCAATACAAACATTTAAATGCAAATGTTTACATTTCTAATGACATCTCATTAGCTTATTATAAATTAGGAAGGTAGTTTTCTCAAGTGCTTAATTTGACCCTGTACTTAATTTAACCAGGAGTGCATTCTACTTCATACTTTTGATTTCAGTATGCCGTAAAAGTAACAGTTTCTGTGGCTGTATGGGTGCCACAGATACTGGGTGTCAAGAAATTATTATTCAGATATTTCCCTTTCTGTTCAAAAGTCAGTAGAATTAGATGTTTTGGTTGAATTATAAGTTTCTTAAAACTTTTCAGAGCTTTATTTCCAGCGTACAGTGACTATATTTTCTAAGAAAATAAATGCTCTTGATATTTAATCCATATTTCAGACCAGTACTTTTAAAAATCATATTTGCTTAAACATTCCTGGCTTCGTACATCTTACGTGGGTTCATCCATAGTTTTGTATGGTGATAACGGATGTAAGGATATTTAGTACCTATCATAATGAAGGAGTACACTCACTAACAAGGTCATACTATTCTACAACTTGAACTAGATGTAGTCTCTGAAGTCCTCAAGTATGAGTTGTTTTATAGGTAAGAACCATTACCTAGAAGGCTTAAGTGACATGGACACAGTCAGGACCAGAATCTTAACACTTGACTCTTAGTCCAGTGCTACACTGGTATTGCATCTTTCTTCACTATTAGTAGAAGTCTTAGCTGTTAAACAGAAATGAGATAAACAGCTTTCTTTAATCTTTGAAAATTCTAAGAAATGTAGTAGAAACAAATAATTTTATTTATTAAAAGCAACTCTAAACTATCAAAAACAATTTTACAGTAGACTAGGACTATAATAACTGAAGTCAGATATAAAACTATTATGCATCTTGGATTTAAAAAGGAGAACAGCTCTGGTTGTTGTGGCTCAGTGGATTGAGCCCTGGCCTGCGAACTGAAAGGTCGCTGGTTAAATTCCCAGTCAGGGCACTGGCCAGGTCCCCAGTTGAAGGCATGCGAGAGGCAACTGATCACAGATCTCTTGCACACTGATGTTTCTCTTCCTCCCTTTTCTTCTTCCTAAAGTAAATAAATAAAATCGTTAAAAAAAAGAAGAAAGCCTATTATAACATGTTTTAATCTCAAATTCTAATGACTTTTCAATTTTTGTAATGAAATTGTTTATACATAGTGCTTAAGAATTTTTCCTCTAAAATTTATAGTGTATGTGAGATAGTAAGTAGCAGTTAACATATTTTCAGATTTGAATCCAGGTGGATTTGGATATAGTTAAATGGATGGTGACTCATTGCCTGTTCTTTTATCTTTAGAGGGGAAGGGAAGGAGAGAGCAAGAGAAACATCAATGTATGGTTGCCTTTCATTTTTTTTTTTTTTAATTTTTATTTATTTATCTTTAGAGGGGAAGGGAAGGAGAGAGCGAGAGAAACATCAATGTATGGTTGCCTTTCATGCGTCCCCTGCTGGGAATTGGCCTGCAGGGAACTGGCCTGCAACCCAGGAATGTGCCCTGACTGGGAATGGAACCGCGATTGTCTGGTTCGCAGGCCCACGCTCAATCCACTGAGCTACACCAGCCAGGGTTTCATCGCCTGTTCTTTTGATGGCTTAAAAAAATACACCAATGTCTGTATTGATTTGTGGGTTGAATTTTATTTTTTCTCTAAAGATTTTATTTTTAGAGAGAGGGAAAGGGAGGGAGAAAGGGAAAGAAACATTAATGCAAGGGAGAAACATTTATGGATTGCTTTTCATACATACCCCTACCAGGGACCAAACCCATGGGAATTGCCCTGACCAGGAATCAAACCAGGGACCTTTTGCTTTGTGTGAGGACACCCAACCAACTGAGCCACACCTGTCAGGGTGAATTTTGTTTTTTATGTGGGGGCTCTTTTTATTTTAAGTTTTTCCTATGGAAATTTCAAACATGCTCAAAAGTATCATGCATCTGTTTGTACTTAAAGGATTTATGTTATAGCTTATTTGTGTTTTTCCTTTTTTAAAAGAATATTTTACTTGCTTTATAGTTGATGGTTTTTTTCTTAATATCTCAATGAGTATATGGGATAAATACGACTGTTTTAAACCAAGTTAATTATACCACTCAAGTAGTAGTTTTAATAGCAGGTCTGGTGTAATGGGTTAGTTATTAGATTCCAATACCCATTTTCTGTCATTCCTTGTTTTTTTTAAATTTTCTGAATTTGAGAAGATTATAAAATAATGAAACCAATGCTATTATAATTGTCCTCTTTCACTTGGTTGGTTGGGGATCAGGGGATGATGGAACTCTAGTTCCTTAAGTCAAACAAATAGGGACAGGACCTTCCAACTTCTAAAAGTTGCCCTATGTATAGATGACATGTTCTTGTATCCCATACACACTGTACAACATTGGGCAGGTAAGCATATGCCTATGGCATGTTAGTGTTGTATCTATCAGACCATCATTTGGGATTAAGTATTTAAAAAATCCAAGAACATTTTAATTGAAGGGGAGGTTCATGATCATTCAGTCTAACTCTTTATTAAATACTTTCCTTTTCTGCATCATTCCTAAAAGCAATCTTGTGTTCAGACATTTTTAGTAATAATTACATAGCTCTGATTTTCAGAGAGTTTTGTTATATCAGAAATCTGCATCCTTACAGCTTATCCTGCCTCGGAAACATGAAAAATTAAGTCTGCTCTGCTCCACATGGCACTCTTTGGGGTATTTGAAGACAGCTGTCATGTCTTCTTAATGTAGTCTTCAGCCTTAAATGTGCAGAATCCCTGTGTATGCAGAAGCCATGATACTGTGCTACCCAGTGCAGTCCTTTCTGAGATTGTTCTTAGGATTCTTGGAAAGGAAGAAATTCCGTAAGAAAGAGTAATCAGTATTTTTAAGGTTATAATGAGCATAAGTCTATTGTCAGAAAACTTGCTATTCAAAAGGTCAAGATTGGTCCATATGCTGGAAAAACATAGGCACTTGGAAAATTGAATATAGTGTAACATTGAGAAGTACCATGAATATGTCTACCCATATGCAAGTCAGCATCATATATACACATTTATCCTTTTCTAGTATGAATTACAGCACTCGGTTTATAGATTGGGATTAAAATAACATTTAAGCAGCAGGAATGTATAAGCTTCTAGATTACTGATGTTTACACATTTGACTCTAAGTGAAATAAACCCATTAAAATTGATTAATTTAGTTAGCATATACTATACACACTTTCGTAGGTAGGTTTTTGTATATTTAAAACAAGTTATAAGCCCTGTCATGCTTCTTAAAGTTCAAGGGAAAAGTAACATTTTTAGAAGTTCAAGATGTTGGATAGTATGGGAGAAGAATCATGATAGTGTTAGACGTATAGTTTGTTAGTGAAGAGTTAGAAGCAGGTTACTTAATGACCAGCTAAAATGTAAATGAGAAGGGTTGAAAATATGGAGTCAGCAAGAAGTGAATTTTAGTGAGAAGCATAATATTCTTTAAAGGAATTCAGGCTGCAAGTTCCTCATGCTTGAATTTTGTTTTACCTTCCTGATTTTAACAATAATAGCTGACACATTATAATTACTATGTATCAGTCCTGTTCTAAGTATTTCATTTAGTTTTCCTAATAACCCTGTGAGACAGATACTTTCATCCACAGTTTACAAATGAGTAAACAAGGTAGGAAAAGTCAAGTACCCAAGGTCATATTTGAACCTAGGTTGTTTGGTTCTAGAGTTCATACTATGTTTAACTGCCTCTTTTATGTTTTAAAAGTAACATCAGCAATAATGTTTTCCTGAGCTGTGATGACAGAATTGTAGAGGTTTTTTTTGTTGTTGTTTTTTAAAAGGAGAGGGATGTGGGTAGAAGGAACTCATTTAGGTAACTCAAGTTCATTTTTCCATTCTTTTTAACCCAAAAATTTAAACACAATGAACAGTTCAAACTGCAAATGGGTTATCAGGTACATACTAGGTTATATAACTAGAACATGGACATAAGGAGTTATACTGAGACTTATTCAGGAGATGATACCTGTTTTCACTTTTTAAATACATCACTCATGGAGAGGAAATGAACCCCTGAGTACACACAGCTTGAGAAAAAGAATATTATTAATACTTTTGAAAAGTCCCATGTATTCCTTCCTGTTTGCATTTGACTGATTTTTAATAAATGAGATAAACCCCTCCGCAAAGGTTTTGTGGTTTAGCAGTGTGTTTTTGAACTGTATGAAGAAGATGTGTATAAAGTCTGAGTGTTTCAAAAGTCTGTAATACTTTTTATTGGAAATTCAGTTGTTAAAGTAAAATTGACAAACCACGTAGTTTATGATTTAAAGGACATTAGTTTTTTTATTTTAAGATTTTATTTATTCATTTTTTAGACAGAGGAGAAGGGAAGGGAGAAGGAGAGGGAGGGAAACATAAGTGTGTGGTTGCCTCTTATGCACCCCCAGCTGGAATCCTGGCCCATAACCCAGGCGTGTGCTCTGACTGGAAATGGACCCGTGACCTGGTGACCGGTTCGCAGGCCTGTGCTCACAGAATCCTGTGTGTTTTTTCCAAGATTAAAAACAGAAGCACCCATCTTTGTTTAAAATAGCCTGTAGCAGAAAAACTTCTTCCACTAACATAGTATGCTTTAATATTAAAGCACTTCAGGCATATCTTATTTAATTATCCATCAACAATGTGGACCCATGTTACATGGGGACACCTTTTTTCTCTATCTGGGTTTGCTTATTTTGGGGAAGAATTTATTTAAGGCTCTTGTCTCTCTGCTTTCTTAAAAGACTGGATCATTGTAGGTTTTCCTATGTAAATAATTATCTGAGTATAATATGAAAGGGGAAAAGATTTAATACTTACTTCTAAAGCACACTACTTAAATTAGTGTAGTAAGGCCCTATTCATTTACATTCAAACTTTTACAGAAATTATTTTAGATTTTTATATTTGGCTTTGTTACTTCTATCTCGATATTTACATCTTGAAGATCTCTATCTTGTTTTAAACATTGCACATAATATGGCAAAAACTTGTTGAAAAGAAATCTGTGGCTTTCTTGGAATGGCAGTGCTGTGTGTTGCTGCCATCATATTCAGTGTTCTAACTGAGTTGAGAGGGATTCCCAGACACTCCTGTACGTAAACATTCCAGTTTTTTGACAGTAACAAATTACTATGATTTACAATGTGGGCAGCCAGCTTTCAGACAGAACCTTTGAATCTTTGTGTTTATTAAATATGCTATAATTTTCTACTTTAGTTAACTTTGAGTGATGAGACTTAAACAATTTAGTCATCCTGCTATATTGTAGGGCTTCCTAGCTAATTAGATTTTTGATAGTTTTTACAGTTAAAATTCAGAGATTTGGAAAGAGTTGATAAAATTAGCTAAATATATAATAGGCTTTTGACTTGTTAGTAGGTGTGTCCTTTAATAAAAATATATGATTAGAATATGGTGTCATAAAAAATAGTTATTTGTAGTGATTAAGTACTGCAACAGATGCTTTTTTCCCCCATTCACTTGTTCTTTTACTCACCTTGTTATGTATAGCAGAAAACCGTTGTTTGATTTAAATCATATTTCAGGAATTTTGAGTAGTATGTATAGTACTACTGATCAGTTTAGTTTAAAGAGACCAGAATAAGAATTTCTGTTTAAAAGAGGTGATAGTTTCTAGGTCACTTACTCTTTTTTACAGATTGTTTCATAACATAGTCTTAATTTTTCCACAGTGCACTGTTAAAGTCTCTCAAGGCCATTCCATTGAGGCCTCTTTGTGTTTTTTCCCCTTGAATATATTTTAATAAAATTCTCTTTGAGAGAACTTGGCTTTTTACATGGTTTTAGAATAGCTAGTTATTTGGATTAGCACAGTGAATTATATCTATGTTAACTTGCTAATGTTTTTACATATTATGGTCGGTCTCTAGGGAACACCAGGAAGAAAGGCTGTGGTATCTTTGAGCAAGTGGTAGGTAAGGGCTTCTCTACAGCCCAGTGTCCAGCTTTGTTATAGCCACCACGCCCCCCACCAACTGGTATATGCCTCTTGTCTGTAGTTCTTCTGGCAAAAGTACTGATGTTATGTAGAGATCCATTGTAAAATACATAGCTTAAAAAGTGTCTGAGTTGTTGCTTTTTTTCAGGCTATGTACATATTTTCTTCCTTTTTAAATTATTCCAGTGTTGAATCTTGAGCATTCTCTACACCTAACATTACCATCTTCCTTTGCCTGTCACAGGTTGTGGGAGCCCCTATTCAGTTTCCAGGTTTGTTTTGTCAAAGATGACAATTATAAGTGTTCTACCACATTAAAACAGTTAGGAAATACTAAGGGAAGTCAACATGAGTACAGAACCAAGGAGTGCAAGGGTGAGTTCTAGAAACTCCATACCAGAGTTAAATCTCCAACAGAAAATTTTTATGTAGCATTAAATAAAAGTAATTTGTGATACCAGGAGTCATCAAAAGATTGAGTAGTAGTTTGTGTTCCTGTGAAGCCCAGTGACTGCTTTTTCTAATAAATATTAATTAGCCTCCACTTTCCTGAAATGAATTTCATTGGTAATGACCACTGCACATAAAACTTTTTTGAAGGGGGACTGTGCATGGATGCATGCATGCACACACACACACAGGCTCTGAGAAGAAAAATCTTTACAAGTAAAGTGCTCATTAAATGACATTATGGCTTCCATTTGAGAACCAGTGCAAAAGCAACATTAGCATAAAGCAACCCTATTTTTATAGCATTAGTGGATGGGGTCAGGCTATTGTAGACAGCCCATAGGTATTCTTTTGGACTAATCTGTGGATCAGGGTAGAGGATCATAGCTGCAGGATTGAAAGGTCATTTCCAAAAAGTAAGTTTTCATTAGATGTTTGTTACCTGTGAGGCAAGTATTCAAATCTTTTCTTGGTCTCAGTCCCTTTTAACTTAAAAAAAAAATTAATCTAAAGAAGGCTTACCATGCAGGTTTATAGGTGATTCAAACTACAAGTTCTTCAGATATCAGGATTCAAGAAGACACTGTGATGTTAAACTTTATGGTGGCATTTAATTATTGATGATTAGGATAGGAAAAGGTCTGGAAATCACTAGAAGAGTAAAGGGAAGTTTAATACTCAGTTTGGATAACAGAGACTTAAGAGTCATTTACAAATATTTAAAAGACTTTATATGAAAGAATTGGATCGAATGTATTTAGGGATGGGGAGGATGTAGGACTTCATACTTGGATTAAACTATGGAAATTTGTTTTTGTAGAGAGACTAGCACTGTTAGGCTTGCTTTGCTGAAGTTGTGTCATGGTTAGCTTGCCAGCTGTTAGGGAGACTAGAGGACATTCCCTTTCCAGAGGAATGGTTTGATTTCCTGTTTTAAGGAAGACTCAAAAGTCTGAAAGTGGACAACACATTGGATACAAAGGGTTATTAAGTAGATAGGATATGTCCCAGGAGGACATACTGCCAACTCTGCGCCAGAATTGTTTTTGTTGAGACATGATATCATTTATTACTGTTACTTGAAGTAGCCTTAAAACCACCTAAATATTTTAAAATATTTGTTCATACTTTAAATTATATATATTCATATATATGAAGTGTACAAATCTCAAGTGTACAGTATGAGGTCATTTTTTACATATTTACACACTGTTGTAACTACTTTCCAGATCAAGGTATAGAATGTTTTCAACACTCAAAAGATTTCTTCATGCTTTTTTCCACCTAAGTCTTTATTTGGTAGGTTAAACTTTCAAAGGTATTTTCATTAAATTTCCTTAGAAAATAAACTTGGAGGAGAGTAATACTCTTCTCCAAATTTATTTTGCCATTTTATGGTTTCTGTGATCTTTCTCTTGTGTAGTGCGGCTGTCTTAATTTCCTTTTTTTGATTTGTCACTGTGTTCTTTGGGAAATTTTTTTTTTTTTTTCCTGATTAGCTTCATTTCCCGCTACTAAAAGTAATACAACCAGTCAGTATATCAAGAGTATCGTATATTATTATAATCACAGGTTCTGGAATGTGAATTTTAGTCACAGTTTTATCCCTTATCTTTTAGTCACAGTTTTATCCCTTTAGTCACAGTTTTATCCCTGTGACATGGAAACCAGTCATGTTTTTGTGTCTATGGTCTCATTTATAGAGTGGCGATTAATAATTAGTCCTGACTTTACTGAGTTGTGAGAATTAAATGGGTTAATACATGAGAAGGATTGAACTGGTGCCTTAGAGAACATTCAGCGTTATGTCATTTGCAAAGATAATTTCAGAGCTGCTTTCATACCTCTGCCTATCTAAGATGAAAATGGTTATTTTAGAAGTATATTTTGCTCTCTTCATTTAAATAGTTTTTAGCCATTGCCATTACTTACTATAGTAGTAAGGTTTTTATTTACAGGTAGTCCACCAATATCGTGGACCTTAAATATGACCACCAATTTAAACAAACTTGTCATTGTTTTCTAATGTTTTTACATGTAAAATATTTAGCACTTAAAATTGGCCTTTTTAAGTGTACAGTATGAGGTCATTTGGAATCATTTAAGGATTCTATCCTTAAATTCTTTAGATTTAATCTTTATTGTATTTTTTAAAGATTCTATCTGGAATAGAATCTTTACATGGAATCATTTAAAGATTCTATTTGTTCTTTAGATTTAATCTTTATTGTATTTTTTTTCCGTTTCTAGTTTAATTTTTACCTGACTTAAATAATCATTGATTACCCACTGTAGTCAAGGTACTGGGCTTGTTTCTTTTGTTGATACAAATTCATAAGACATGGTATCATACTTTAAACAGCATTTCCAACAGTTTCCTAGTTCTTTCATTTCTTCAAACATGTTTCGTGATTTGGCCCAGTACCACGATGAAGAAAAATGCCAATTGCACTGAAAATCAACAGGATTCATAGTTTATTATACTGCTGCAGACTGATCATTGGTATCCAGGCTCTTGCATCAGGACAGCATTTATTTTTCTCAAGGGGAAGAATGTGTTTTTCCTATTCACCAGATTTAACTATAAAAATTAATTTCTGCCTCATTTAGTGATAAAGTTGGATGAGTTAGTGATAGCTCTGGTACAACTGTCATTTCTGTTTGCCATCTTTGATGAGTAATGTGACCAACTGTCAGGAGTCTTGGGAAAAGTGTATTCTACATATTTTTTTGTTACAACAGACAAGATTTCATACAGACATCTAATATCTGTTTGAGCATTGTGAAAACCTTCTGTTCCCATTTCATGAAACTAGCCAGCTGACAGCAGACTGGCTGAGTGTAAACTGTTCTGTCCCCAAGGTCTTTGGTGGAGTTTATTGCAGGATGAGAGCTAAATCCTTATCTAGGAATGTAACAGATACAGCCCCTACTGATATGATTCTAAGAGTAAACAGGCTGATGTTAAAGAAGATGTTAGGAATTAATCAGCACTGTAAATTCAGTGGTTTCTGGATTTAAATCCTGCTTCTTTCTTGAGGTCATATAGTAAAATAACCATTTTTACGGTTCTTTTTGGAGGCCCTGAGTGTTAAATACTTCGTTTGGTGTTACTAATATTTTACATTTTACGTAAGGGTCAAATCAGATAGTTTAATTTAGTTTTCAGAAATTTATGTAAATTATTTCATTTACATCTTTTTCAAGTATATCATCAATCTGATTTTAGAGGACATTTTTAGTTTTACAGATTTAATGTTTCAGTGTGTCATGCAAATGTAAATTATCAAGATTTTGGGGTGTAAAAATAAGATGTTTGCCCTGGCTGGTGTGGCTCAGTGGATTGAGTGCTGGCCTGGGAACCAAAGTGTCCCTGGTTTTATTCCTGGTCAGAGCACATGCCTGGGTTGCAGGCGATTGATGTATCTCTCACATATCGATGTTTCTCTCTTTCTCTTTTTCCCTTTTTTTCCCTCTCTTTATAAATGAATAAATAAAATTTTTAAAAAAATAAGATGTTTATTAGAGACTTCTGGCCAAGATGCAGGCATAGGTGGAAACACTGTGCCTCCTCTCACAACCAAGTTTAAAGACAACAAAGTTTTAGTAACAAAAATGCAACCAAAACACAGAAAATGGAACTGTATGGAAGTCCGACAACAACGAACCATTCAGCCAGACAGGTAAGAGGGGTGTAGTCAGCGGCTGGTGGAGCGGGGTTGGGCAGGAAAGATCAGCCAGACCAACCCAGGAGCGCAGGCGGCAGTTGGCAGATCCCAGGTATGGGGTGGCAATGGGCAGAGCCAGTGAGGGCGCAAGGCAGCTGTCTGACCTCAATCACACATTCCCGCGCAGATAAACCAGGCAAAGGAGCAAACAGTGAGACAGACCGCTCAGACTAGGGCCCCAGCAACGGGAATTAGAGCCTGAAAGCACCAATTGGAAACTTTCGGGGTCGAGGTGCCAGGAGAGGCTCCCAGACTCACAGAGTTTGTTGGAGAGACCCACAGGGTCCTGGAGGGTGCACAGGCCCACACACCCGGGAGCCGCCACCAGAAGGGCCCAGTTTGCTTGTAGGAAGCAGCAGAGGGGACCGAAATCCGAGAGAGAGCAGAACAAACGCCACTGCCCCCTCTCTGACCCTGCCCCCACATGCAGTGTCACAACCCAGCAACTGGGTCACCCCACCCTGGTGAACACCTAAGGCTCTGCCCCTCATACATAACAGGTGCGAACAGACCAAAACATTATGGCTCAAGAAACAGCTCAAAGCCCCAGAGCCTATAATTCTAAGCTACCAAGAGATAGCCAACCTATCAGATGCACAGTTCAAAACACTGGTGATCAGGATGCTCACAGAACTGGTTGATTTTGGTCACAAATTAGAGGAACAGATGATGGCTAAACTAATTGAAATGAAGGGAAATACACAGGAAACCAATAGTGATGGAAAGGAAATTGGGACTCAAATCATGGAAGGAAGAAACATCCAATCAGAAAAGAATGAAGAAACAAGAATTCAGAAAAATGAGGAGAGGCTTAGGAACCTCCAGGACATCTTTAGATGTTCCAACATTCAAATTATAGAGGTACCAGAAGGGGAAGAGGAGGAGCAACAAGTAGAAAACTTATTTGAACAAATAATAAAGAAGAACTTCCCCAATCTGGCAAGGGAAATAGACTTCCAGGAAGTCCAGGAAGCTCAGAGTCTCCCAAAGAAGTTGGACCCAAGAAGAAACACACCAAGGCACATCATAATTACATTAGCCAATGTTAAAATGAAGGAGAGAATCCTAGAAGCAGCAAGAGATAAGGGGACAATCACCTACAGAGGAGTTGTTCCCACCAAACTGTTAGCTGATTTCTCAAAAGAGACCTTACAGGCAAGAAGGGGCTGGAAAGAAGTATTCCAAGTCATGAAATCCAAAGACCTACAACCAAGATTGCTCTATCCAGCAAAGCTTTCATTTGGAATGGAAGGGCAGATAAAGCGCTTCTCAGATAAGGTCAAATTCAAGGAGTTCATCATCACCAAGCCCTTATTATATGAAATGTTAAAGGGACTTACCTAAGAAAATGAAGAGAAAAAATATGAACAGTGAAAGGACAACAAACTCAGAGTTATTAAGAACCACACCTAAAACAAAAGCAAACGAGGACAGCTAGATTAGGAGCAGAACCATAGAAATGGAGGGTTAGCAAGAGGGGAGTGGGAGGAGGAGAAGGGGGGAGAAGGTACAGAGAATAAGCATAGATGGTAGGCAGAAAATGGAGAGGGCAAGAATAGTATGGGAAATACAGAATCTAAAGAACTTGTGACACATGGACATAAACTAAGGTGGGGATTGGTAGGGGAGTGGGTGTGCAGGGTGGAGGGGAATGAAAAATAGGACAGCTGTAATGGCATAATCAATAAAATATTGAAAAAGGTTTATTAAAATAATTTTTAAGAGTTTTAGGTGTTTTATTTGGTTTATTAGATTCTAGCAGATAAATCACTAAATCAATTACTGTAAAATAACACTTTTGAATTAACTGTTTTAACTGTAGTCTTTTCCTTTATATTTTGGGCCTTTAGAACAAAAATAAAAACATCTGTTGTCTTCCCACAATGAGGAGGTAAGATGACAGAGTTCTGACTTAGGAACTGTATAATACTAGGGAGTAAAGCCCATGAGATGATAGATATTTGAAAGACTCAGTATGCTGGAGGAAGTTTCAGTCCTAGGCAAGGCATGCCAGGGAGTAAGATCATGTAAAGGATAAGGGTTGGCACTGTTACGAGATGTAGACTGGAAAGAGATTTGTCAACATTGTGGTTTTCCTTTAGCATTATTTTAGAATTACATTTGAATTAACTACATACTAAGATTCACCAGGCAATAAATCTGCATTTATTTAAAAAAAAAAGTTTTAAACTCCTCCTACAGAGGAGTTTGGAATTACTGGAAAGACCAGCCTTCTTATTGGATTACTTTTGGTAATGTAATACAAAATCAGGTGAAAGGAAATAAACTTATAAAATGTGATACATGAATGTTCAGCCCCTTATTCCCTAAAATATTTAATACCTCATTTATTGTATAGACTTAGAGTGACCACAGACTTTTTTCTACTGTAAGTTACACAGACATTACTTGGTATAATATATATTATCTTTGAATATATTTTTTAAGGTTTTATTTATTTTTAGAGAGAGGAGAAGGAAGGGAGAAAGGGAGGGAGAGAAACATTCATTGGTTGCCTCTTATAGGTGCCCTGACCAGGGACTGAAGTCATGGATTTGATGCATGATGGCATCAGAAGATGAGCTTAAATCATTGTTACTTCTACTTGTTGAATGAAGAGTTTTCATGATGCATGAATAATAGTGGTAATGCCTGTCTAACAAGGAAAATCATATTGTAATATATGCAACACTTTCTGTGCTGCAGAAATAGAGGGTACTTACTGGTGGTGAAAATGTTTTGTGTCTAATCCAGACTTGTGCACATATAGGTACTTAGGAAATGATGTGGTTTTGAAGTTAATGGCCTTCATATTGGGGATCTCAGATTAAAGCTCCAAACTTATATCTCTCAGGGCTTTGAAGGGCATAATATGCACTTGGGAAACTGGCATTTACTTACCCTATGTGTCACCCCCTTTATATTAAAGTCTTCTAGTTTTATTTGGAAGGTAGGTAATGGGTGATTTTTTTCAAAGTTTTTTTAAAGCTGATTTTATTTTATTGTTTTAATCTTTTAAATTTTTATTTTTAGAGAGAGGGGAAAGGAGGGAGAAAGGGAGAGAAACACCAGTATGTGGTTGCCTCTTTTGCACCCCACACCGGGGACCTGTCTCACAACCCAGGCATGTGCCCTGATTGGATATTGAACTGGCAACCCTTTGGTTTGAAGGCAGGCACTGAGTCCACTGAGCCACACCAGCCAGGGCTAAAGCTAATTTTACAGTTGATAATAAAGAAGGTATTTCTGCCTTTTATTTGGGGCAGAGAGAGACTTTTTAATTATTCTCCTCAGGTTTTTCAAGACTTTTAGTTTTTAACTTTTGTGTTAAACATATCATTATGAACAAATTAGCTTTACA